AGTTGCACTTCAGCCATATGAAATTCTTAGCTGCAAAATGTAGAACACGCAGAATACTTGCCCATCCCTTTGACACAAGTACCTTTTAAAAGAAGAAACTGAAAACTACCATCTTTTTTTTAAACTCAGATCTGGTTTAGATTCTATATAATTAAAGCTCCGGGAGGTTGGTGTGGGCTTCACCCATCCTGGAAATGAAGGCTCAGCTTCCATTTAAGCATGAGAAGAGCAACAGGTGGGACTGGTTGCAGGTTCATGTTCCATTCAATGTCAAATTCAAGCCTGGAGAGGTGGTTTTTTTTTTTTTTTTAAATGTTTCATTTGTGAAAAATTATACAAGGTCTTCCATTTAACTAGCTATACTCACCAAGAAACTGGTTAGGGAACATACTGTTTCTGTCCAACGACCCACTGCCTCGCTCTCAGGTCTGTTAGGTGACCAGAGATCATGTTTTCTGCCATAATGGAAAACCAGAGTAAATTGGGAGTCAGGGGATTAAGAGTTTCTTCTTAACTAACTGCAACGGGCCCTCGGTTTAGAAAAATAAGGTCTTCAGCCCCTCTTTTTGTTATATATAAAGACAGAATGTTGTTTTCAGCAACAGAACAGCTAAGAGCTCTTTTATACAGCGCAAGCTTCCGTCTAGGAGCTCACTCCAAAACGTTTGTTCCTACTGCATGACTGATCAAGAAAAAAAAAAGCCCTTTTTTCTGCCTTTACAAATCTGAAAATTCAGTGCTACGTCCTTGTCACGTATTCCTGTTTAGTATGACTTTTATCTGGGGGCTACTATAAATCGTTCAGCCGGGTTAAAAATCAGGGACTGCCAAAGGTCAAAATGTGAACCAGTTAACAAAAACAGATATGATGGAGTAGCTGTCGTTATTTTATGGACACTAAAATTTCAAGAAGCATCAGATCTGTGCACGTCCACAGCACATTTGATCCAGACACAGGCAGTACACCAGGCGCTTCAGGACTGAATGAATTGTACACAGTTATTCTGCATGATGCAAAGAAAAGAGCAGCAATATGCAGCCATCAGCTGCCAGGGGACAGAGGCATGTGGCTTCTGTAGTCCAAAAGGCTGAGCTGCCTTGAAATCCGAGGGGTTTTCAGAGCCAAGACACTCTGAAAACATTTACTCCCAGTTACAGAGAAGTTGGGTCTTTCTGAATTTGGCAATAGTCTATAATTAAGCATTAAGGCTGAATCTAGAACAGTACACTGTTGAAAGTCAAACTGAACTACCACCTTAAGAACATTTAATTTTACTAAGACTGCTCTTGCAGGCAAATGATTGCCTCACATTCATCTGACCACTCCCTCTTCCTCCTTGCATTAGCACTACTTTTTGAATACTCATTCTTTCAGAAGTTTCTAAATCCTTTTGGAATCCTACTAGAGGTTCAAGGATCCCATAAAAGTTTCTAGAGATTACATGAGTAAGTGGCTTATTATATTGAATTTGCTTCATTAAGCATCATTTTGAATGTGATAATTTTTTTTTAAAGTATCCAGCCTTTCTCCAAACAATTCCTAGGTTTAGCTTTTTAATTTGATGCAAAATTGTACCTATAGCTACTCCTCAAAATAGGTAGTCTCTTCTACTCTCACCTCTAGCACTTGGTGCTAGTTGTATGTGTATTCTGAGATTACAAACTAGCAGTTTTGTTTTTTTTTTTTAAATCAATTCATACACTGAATAATGACTTAAAGACCTAGATACAAAAAAGCTGAAAGGCAGCATTATGTTCTGCAGTGATGATCATGCACTGCAAAACTAGCAGAGCTACTCTTTCTAAGGGGGAAGAGGAACAGCGGTGAAACCATTTCAAAGAACAGGCAAGCTCTAGCTCTCTCATGACCACCACCCCCCACCACCAGCCTAGACAGAAGTATGCATAGTTCCAATGTTCTTCCTAACACTCCAGTGGTTAGCAAAGCAGGAACAACCTGCTTTGTTTGAAAAGTTTGGTCCCTTTTAGGGGGGAAAAAAATAAAATCCATCAATGATTTTTAGTTATTTGTCTAATCCTCTGATCATTAAAACAAAACTTTTAATAGCCCCAGATTCTAGGCAAGGTGTTCCACAGGTTATCTAAACATTGCTGTGAAATGACACAAACCACTATTTTTCTTTGATGGTCTTGCTCTTGCATCTTAAGAAACGGCAACTATTTGCTCTTCACTTTATTGCCACTCACCATTTGTAGACCTATCAAACTCCTTTCTGCTTCAACTGTCAAACCTTTTCCAGTTTGAAGACTCTAATCTATTTAATCATGCTTAACAGTACAGCTATGATTAAATACACAAACTGTCTTTGGACAAGGAGTCAGATTTAAGCAAGAGGCTGTTCAAAACCTTATTTGTGCAACTAGCTTAAAGCTATTCTACACTTCAGCTGCAACTGAAGAGTTGCAGGGAAAGATTTGCCACAACATTTCTGCAGTCATTTATATCTGGCATTTAACATCCGTTATGTTTAAGAAACAGCTTGCATAAATGACTTTTCACCACAATTGTATCACAAACAAAGTTTAATGCATACAAAACCTCACAAGTATTTATATTTTAACAAAGAAAGCTGCTACAAAATAGCATCTTGTTTATCAAAGACAATTTCAGAGTTGAGGCACATGCATTTCAGCCATGTTAGCGTAAATAGCATGCAACACGACATTAAACAGACACAGTGTCTGGGTTTGAAACATTAAATAAAAATTAAAATACATTAAACAATCAGTGGAAACATTGGCCATGCTATTAAATGCCCTTTGCAAGTCACCTTAATTACCCCCCCCAAAAAAACCAAAATCCTCTTTCCAAGTATTTTCTCGTAAAAACTAGTATGCCAATTTACATTAAAAGCCAATCGTCACACAGCTTATTTTGCACTAGAATGCATATAAAGTATTATGATATAAATTTATAAGTGTTCTTCAAATGTTCATAAAATCATCTTTTAGCCTAAGGTTCAAAATAGTTTAGCTATGTCCCAAGATGTTGCAGGATCACTAAGATTTGATTCTTAATTGCTTTTGAAATGAATTCTTCTCTTGATGATTTTGAATTCCTTGTCAAAATTCCATACTCATCTGAACAAACCCATGTTACATAGTGGCACAATTGGTCTGTTCTAGGAGTTCCTTCCTCTCTCAGGTTTTTCAGGCTTCAAGAAACACAGTTCCCTTTAAAATACTTATTTATCTTTATTTTGTGCAATTTTTTTTTATACAAGGGATAGAACAGAAGTGCACTAGAGCTTTTTTTTGGTAACAACATATTTTGAAGAAAGTTTTTCATACCATATACATGTGGCCAAAGGCCTTGGACATTCTGAGCAACAAGTGACTAGAAGTCATTTCCCTTAATAAAAAGGGGTACATAATCCTGTAAAAAGGGACTACAAAACCACAGTGCTAATAATGCCCACTTTAGACCTTTATGATAGACATAATAAATGTATATATACACAATTTGTGTGGCACATTAAGCTTTTATGGGTAAATTTGTTTCTTAATAAAAATAGACTGTAATATAAAATATTAAAAACAAGCTGTTTAACTTGTACCACATGGACTTTATATATTTGACATTTAAAAAGGACTATTGTATGATAATATATTAAAACATCATTTTCAAGTAACTTTTTCAATTTTCATAGACAAGAATGCATCCATACTAGAGTATTCCAACACTATCTATTCCCAGTAGTCTGATATATGCAAAATCTAGTATGGAAGTAAACATCCGAAAGTTTACATATACTTCTCCATATCAAACTTACTCATTCTCTGTATGCAAAACTCCTGTAGTCTTAAATGGGAACCAAGTATCAAGGCCTATTCCAAAGTAATTTGGGGAAAAGCTGAAGTATTTCCCACAGAGGCCCAGTGAAAGTCAAGCTAATCACTTACAGTACTTAGATTTTCGAGAACAATTAACAACTTGAGTTCTTGCATTCAGAACCGAGAGTACCAAAAATACTCTGTAAAAAACTTATGCCTTCATCGAACAGACTACAGAAGGGGAAATTGCTCTGCTGCACTCAGTGACATTATTCTCAAAGTCAAGTGCCTGTAAGAACAAAGGTCTGAAAGCCCTAACTCAGAAATACTTAATGCCCAAATAAGATCAAGGATCAGCATATAACATATTAGACTTTGAGCTTTGTGTATGACCTCCATTGGATAAACAAAATGCTTATAGACATTATAGACAGACTTTTTTCCCTCCCCATGATCTTTTTTTTTTTTTTTTAACCTTAGGAGTTTTTCATTAATCCCTCAATTACAATTGACAAGTTCTGAATGGTTCCTACTTTAAACAGTGAGCTCTTCTGTAACTGCTATATTCAAAACAGCTTCTAATAATACTGGCATTCCTTAATGTAACATAGGCTAAATTCTCATTCCAGTAACTGCAGGAGTACTAGAACTTGGCCAAATATGGACCTGTCCTTGGTTACGAAAGCAGTTATTACTATACTTTTTGCTTCAAAGTCTTTTTTGAAGAGAGAATTGTTTTATTAGATGCTGTCCTAAATATATATAGGAAATTTTATCTAGAATTATTTTGTCATGTCATAATTGCATCAGTATATGTAAAATATATTAAGTTAAAAAAACTGATTATGTTTTAATGGTGGCAAAACAGCAAGTACTTTGCCAGCTCTTCCCCTCACGAGTCATTGTAAATGCTTGTCTTGGAAGCTAATATTTTACTGGCTATTGCAAGTGACACAATCCATTAGACAGACTTAGTCTATTAAAAAAATACATATGTACTTGAAATTAATTTTTTTCCAGTGGATTTCAGAAGCTATCTGTATACATTTTTACAAGACCTGTCCCCCTCATTCATAGTCACTGGAGTGGGTTATTCATAGTAGGGAAATCAGGTCACAGTGTCTCTATTATAAAGACTGACGGGAAGAGAACAGGGTACAGAAATAGGTCATTTTTCAATTGGTAGGTGCTTCTGTTTCCACCTTCCCCATTGGTGCTTCAGAAAAAAGTAGTTTCCTAAGTATGTTTGCATAGAACGGTCCATACACTTGTTTGTTAAAGTTTACAATGCTTGCATACTGAGATCCAACAAACTCCATCTCTGTCTGAATCACAGA